CAAGCTACCATTCAGTTGGTGGTCTACAATGACCCCCCAAATCTTTTTCTATTTCTGACTTCCCTAGCGGCATACCCATGATTGTATAGCCTGTTTGTTTATTTTTATTTCCAAAGTGCATTACTTTGCATTTATCAACATTAAACCTCATCTGCCATAGTATTGCCCACTCCCCTATTTTATCCATTGGACCGCGTACTCCAGATGTGGCTGAACCAACGATCTATATAATGGCCCAATTATAGACTTGTCTCTGCAATACATCCCCTTCTTAATACACGACAAAACCCTGCTAGCTTTGTGTACCGCCGCCTGGCACTGCAAGCTACCATTCAGTTGGTGGTCTACAATGACCCCCCAAATCTTTTTCTATTTCTGACTTCCCTAGCGGCATACCCATGATGGTATAGCCCGTTTGTTTATTTTTATTTCCAAAGTGCATTACTTTGCATTTATCAACATTAAACCTCATCTGCCATATTATTGCGCACTCCCCTATTTTATCCATGTCCTCCTGTAATGTTATATTGTCACAATCCGTTTCTAATACCCTCCCTATTTTTGTATCGTCTGCAAACACAGAAACATGGCTATTTACTCCCTCCCCGATATAATGAATAAATAGGTTGAACAGTATGGGACCCAGAACAGATCCTTGAGGCACACCGCTCATTACACTAGCCCAGTCTGAAAAGGTGCCATTTACAGATACTCTCTGGACACGTTCCCGTAGCCAGTTCAGTCCAACGATGTCACTGATGTATAAGTTTTGGGTGGACAGACCCTTTGAATAATGGATTCTTAGTTCCACATATGTCAAAGTCAAAGCTATCCTCTTTAACCATCCATACACTAAATGTATTTAAAAATATTCAGTGCATTAAACTATACTTCTTAGATCTCATAATACTATATATAATGGGGTGACCAGAAGTCCCTGGTTTCCAGGGACAGTCCCAGCTTTTAGAAAGCTGTCCCCGAAAAACAAGTCTCTCTGATTGTGCCCCCAGTTAAAAATTGGAGTGTGATTATGTGCATATCTGGGAACTTAGCAGATCTTACCTGAAGAGGAAAAGGAGAGAGGGGAGGTGCATAAGAACAGAAGTGGGCTGGAAAAAGGAGATTTATAGAAGGACCTGAAGGTGTGATCTCTTCAAGGACTGTGCTGCTGACTGAATGCTCAGTTGTGTGTAAGCAAGTGTTGCTATCATAGTCTGTTACACTCTGGGTGTAGTAACCCTAATGCTAATCCTAACATCTAAAACTCCCTAAACCCCAACCCTAATGCCAAGCCTAATCTATCTCTAGGGCTGCAACATATTCTATCTATTCTTGTGAGCTTGATTACATTTCAGATCCCCTGACCTCAGTCTATACTGGCAATTGTCCAGTGGTCTGTTTTCTGTGTGGACTTTGAGTTTTAGGCCTCAGATGCAGTTCATTATTTTGTTCTATGGTGTGATTTCCTCTATATGTTGCTGTTTAGAATATTTCTGTTTTTTGTCTCTATTGACTCATTCTGAGATAACTATATACATACAGTATTAGAGAGGTGTGTAATCCTCAAGCAAACTTTGCATGGCGGCTTGCACGTCCGTGAACAGCCAATCCTGGGAGGGACAGGTGCTGCGTGTAATTGCTCGCAGCAGTCTGTTCTTCTCTACGGGAAGTACATTGTCATCCGTGCGGGTACTGGTGTCCGCACTTGGACACAGACAGGATTGATTCAAGTCCAGGCACCCGTACCCGCACAGATGTGCAGTTCGGGTGTCCGTATGACACCGTACAGCTGCGTCCTCCCATAGGGAAAAACAGGCTGCTGTGCACAATCACACGCAGCAGCCTGTCCTTCCCAGGATTGGCTGTTTTTACGTGCTTGCACGTCACACGAACAGGTGTGAATGAGGCCCTACAGGTTGAGCAAGCTGTGCTTTAGTTGGTAAATAGGTTACAAAAAATGGACTTAGGACCAGGATTTAAAAATGTGGTGCTTGTTTGTTTTTAAAGTAGTGCATTCCATTTACCCTGTACCTAATTAAAATGTGGATAAAGTTGACTAGGGATGTTGATGTGGTTCTCTGTGTGATAGGACAAAGCGACTGCCACTGATTTTATGGGTATCCTTCAAGCATCCTGTACCTTGGCGCTATCCTTTGGTAAGGACTGACCTGTATTTTGGTTTGGCTAACATTCCCAACCTTTAATCTTACACCAGATTCAGGTAAGAGGGAGTGCATCCAGCCGAGAAGAAACACAGAGGTAGTGGGTCTCACGGTGGTGGAGGTACCTCCCCCTCCTGATGAAGCATAGACTGCGAAACGGATTAAGGACTGGACCATTACACATATTTCTTTGAATAAGCTATATGTGTGTGATTTTGTATATAATTTATGTGTCAATATACTGTATGTGATGATGTAACCAGATTCAGGAGGTTCGACTTAGAAGGATCAGGATATAGATCCCATAGACTGGGAACCAAACAATGTTTTAAATCATTTTATGGATCTTTTCATGAATTTAATAAAGTAATTACATTTTAAAGAATGTTTTTCTAAACTGTGGATTACTAACACCGTTAAAGCCCCAATATTTTCTGTTGTCTTTCTAACACTCTGTTAAGCTTCGTTCACACGGGGCGATCAGGCAATCCTGCTGAAATAACCTACAAATTCTTGCTTCAGGTGGCAGGTGTCCAGTGTGTACAGCGGCCGCATCTGAACTGGACACCTTGGATTCCTGCCACAGGAATCTGTAGGTTCCTGTGGCAGGAATCCCAGAACACCCTGTGTGAAAGAAGCCTAATTGTGCAACAGTGAGCCTATTTGGTGTTTATCACTGTATCCTCTGCAAGAGCTGTTAGGTTGCCACACTTAAAATAGACTGTACAGATTAAAAGTTGTAGCTAGCTAAACAAATATATACTGTAGATCAAATTAATAATTAGGGATGCACAGATACTTTTCGAGTACCAGTGCAGATACTTAGCATTTTCATGAGAACTACCAGGGTTGCATCGGTTGCCGCTGGGACCTGGCTCTGGCACTCCATCACTGTCCTGAAATCATTAGTATGTATTGTTTTAGAAAAACTGTCACATGACAATAAACAAAAATGTATTAGTACTCGTACTTGCAAGTACTCGGCAAGAACCAATACTCGTACTCGCAAAACTGGTATCTGTTCATCTCTTTATTTATATTTATAAAAACAAAATCGTACATTAAAACAGAGATGTACAAATTCCAGGAGCTCTGCGTGCTCCTTACAAATGACAGCTGCCTCCTAATTTTTGAATTTTTCTCTAGTGTAGTCTTGGAGCTCAAAAGTATCTGTACATGTACTTGTACCGAGCACTGTACTTGGTATCTGTGCAACCCTATTAATAATGAATCTTTCTGTATACGCAGTATTTTAACATGAAATTGTACAATAGGTTAAGGACATGCCTCTTGCATGTAGTCAAAGGATTGGCATTCATCATCATTTTAGATGAATCTCAAGCCCCTAATTTAAGTACATTCTCTGCCTACATTGGTTTGCTGGATGCACAGCAAACAAAGGTGTCCCTGGAAATGTTTTAGAAATTTTGGCAACTATGCTATTACACAATAGGGTGTGTATAAAAATGTCATCACATGTATTAGTACTCAGACAGTGGCTATGACAAAACCCCACCCTTGCAGTTTTTATGATCTTCTTAATCTTTGCAGCCTTTGTGTCTAGTGAAACTGTTTAAAATATTTTTTATACCTGTTCTTTGTGGCCACAATCTAGATAATATTTCAAGGATGAACTACCAAAAAAAATCCGGACATTTAAAAAAATAAATCAGCCATTTCATTAATACAGTATAGACAGTCAAATGTATAAGTACCATAAAAAAATACAAATGGATTTTGTTTACTTTTAATTTGTAATTTTTCAATTGGGCCAAAGAAGAGTTTGCTCCAGTGAAAGCAGATGTTAGAGGAAACATTAACACTACATGTGGCTTCGGTGGGGCAAAATGAAACATTTCAATACACTAAACAATATGTATGGAGCTGTCACATATCAAAACCAATTAATTGTGATTATCATTGGCTCTACTTACAGGCTATAGCTAAACTAGCTGATATTTTCCTGGGAAAACAAATTAATAACAGTGCACCACTAGACCAGAAAATTTATTGGCTGAGGACGTCCATACAGTTCACCAATTACTACAGCCATCTTGGAGGTAGTGCAGACAAGGCCTGTAATAATAATAGCAAATACATTAGTGCTTTTTGTATTTAAATATTTCGATTTTTCGCTCTTGGCCATAATCTGTATTTGTATCAGAGCCAGATATATCAATTCATCCAGTGGGTCAGGGCCGGACTGGCCATAGGGCAAACCGGGCAATTGCCCGGTGGGCCGGGCCAAACACAATCAACCTGATTGTGTTCGGGCCGGTCCGCTATGCCCGATGGCCGGCTCTGTGCAGAGCAGTGTCTACTGTGTGGTAGCGAGCAGAGCCGACACTACCATACAGTAGACACTAGAGGGCGCTGGTGGGGGAGGCCAGAAAAACACCTCCTCCCCCAGCTCTCTCTACTCTTTGCTCTTTCCGGAGCTTGCTGGTGCTGTTCCTGCAGCCTGCATTGTCCTGTTACCGGCCGAGATGTTAACATATGAATGGGCCGCGGTAATTTGCATATCAATAAGCCGCGCCCCATTCATATGTAAATATCGCGGCTCATTCATATGCAAATCACCACCCCTCCTCCCTGCTAAGGAAGAGAAGACTGCAAGAACAAGGTATGTGTATGGTCAGGGTATGTCGAGTGCCCCCTGAGACGGAAGAGGCGGAGACACGGAAGAGGCAGAGACACTGACGGAAGAGGCGGGAGGCGTTGGCCGAAGCTCCAGTCGGGCAGAGAAGATGACAAGGAGGCCGCGTTCCAAAGAGGTCAAGCTGAGCAAGGTAAGAGGACTGTGCTGGCAGAGCCCAGCATAGATACTGCACAGCCCAGGTGTGCTGTGCAATACCCTTTGGTGGGCTCTGCAGGATCTGAGGGGGCTCTGCAGTCTGCAAAGCCCACCACAGATCCTGCACAACCCCCCTGAGATCCTGCACGGTCTCTGCTGTAGTGGCCGGCCCTGCCCCTCGATTGCGCTTCTGTGTTTGGCTCCGCCCACTGTTGTGAGAGGTGGGGCCTGTTGGTGGTTACGTGATTGGGCTGCTCAGTCTAAAATGCCTGGGCCTATTTTTAGTCCCAGTCCGGCCCTGCAGTGGGTTGATCTGTTCACTCCCAGAATGAGCTTGGCTTTCATCCATGAAGGAATATTGAATATTTGTTCTTTCTGAGACCTTTTTAAAGTATTTGAATACTATCCTTATGGATGTTTATGCTGAAATTGGACGTGCGTTTTATACATAATAGCTTCTTTGTTTTTTTTATTTTATTTTTATGTAAAATGTTTATTTTTATGTAAAAGAGACTTGAATTACCTTCATGAAGTTAAACACAAAGTAGCTTGGTACTTAAGATAATCTAAAAGAAGGTAGAATGGTAGAAAATATCTTCCAACACATGGCTGACCTGGGCTCCAAGTACCTGTAACCTGGGTAGAAGTGGTGAATGTGTTAATAAAATCACTTGGGTCCATTGATATTTATGCAGTGTAGTAAGCCAGCGTGCACTATTATAGTAGTGGAAAGGCCGTCCCTTTATTAAGGGAGCCTGAGGCTGTTTTTGCCTGCCATCCCCTTTATTAATGCAAACGTGCCGGCCAAGGTTGCTAGGATAGGGAGACAGGGAGAGGATCGGGAAGTCAGCGATCAGTGGTATGTGTTCGCTGAGTTCCTGATAAATAGAGCAAACCCATGACAGCTTCAGTGTCACAGGTCGGCTTGAATTATGTGGATAAGTGTATTCCACTCACCCCATAATTCTCCTTTAACTTTCTCTCTGCCTGAGGCACCCTGCTGAAAAACAATAATCTACAGATTGTGGCTGGGAACAGGACAACCATAATAAAAAGCAGTCCAAAGAATGGATCCACAAGCAAAAGCATGATGATGTACACATTCAGATCAATTTATACAATTTATACAAACATATATTCTCTGTATATATACAATTATATAAACTCTTGCATTAAAATGCATTCATGACCGTTCCTTCGCATTAGCAACAAATTAAGTTTTAGTTTCCATAATAGATGATGGTTAAGTCGATGCTGTCAGTGTCTTTATTTATATAGCCTAAAATTATTGAGGACATTGAGTTAACCTCAGGTGTAACCTGAAGTCAATATACTGAACAAGTAACTGTATAAAACAGCTATTTGTAATATTATTCAATATGTGCTCAGAAATAATTTTATTTATGAATAAAACGTAATTTAAGATATTGATTCCCTTACGACTTTCCATCTTTCTATCATCATGCCATTCAAAAACGGAATGAATTAACATTCAAAAAATAACATTCCAATTTGCTCACTTTTCTGTATTTGTCTTGGCAACACCAGTTTACCTAATATCAGAGTCCTCAATCTCTTTTTCTGCAGCTCCTGTTATAAATGAACAGGAATCCTCTATACTGAGTTTTCCTGTTCATTCATAACAAGAGGACATAACTATATATTACTATAACCACAATCATGAATGAACAGGAGGGGATGTAGATCACTTCCCATTCATTCATAATTGAGGATATAGTTAACATACTATGTCCTCTATTATTTACAAACACTAAGCGATCACTGATCTAATGTCTACAGTTCCAACTATTCATGTAGTAAATCACCAGATGATGCATGTAGTATAACAAAATAAATGGCCATATCCATCCAACGGCGCACGCGAGCGGGAAAAGCCCAAAATTTAAAAACAGGCAACGATGCCTGTTAACATACAAGCGATCGGACTGGTGATAGCAATAAAATTAAGTGGAAAAAAAAAAAATAGGAAAAAAAAATGTACGTTTCCCCCCCCAAAATTTTAAGTCACACATAAAAAAGAATAAAAAAGTCCCCACCCATACATACACGCATAAATCTTGACATGTTTGGTGTCTATTTACCCGACGTGACCCCGTCTTTTATATTTTAACAAAAAATTGGGTAATAATAATTGTTTGTTAACATAATGTAAAAAATACTTATTTTTTTTCAAAATTTCCAGTACTTTTTCCTTAATATAGTACAAAATAAAAACCTCAGTGGTGAATAAATACCACCAAAATAAAGCTCTATCTGTCCCCAAAAAATGGTATAAAATTCATTTCAGTACAGCGTTGCATGACGGAATAAATGTCAGTCAAAATACTGCTAGTAAATAAAAGTAAATCACCGGCACACACTGTCGCTCTGATGAAGGATCCCTGTGCGGACCCAAAACGTTAGCACCGTATGACAGTATGTGACATTGGGTATTGAATAAACATATCAATACTTTAGAAACCCTTCAAGTGTGTGCCCGTGATTTACTTTTATTTACTATTAGTGTTTTGCACGGTGCCATCCGTGTGGTCACCTGGGCACCACACATACCTTGTGCTTTTGAGACCGTGGCAGTGCGAACGGGATTTGGACTTAGTCAAAGTACTGCAGCGCCAAATACTGGAAAATGCCCTGGACAGTAAGGGGGGTCTAAACACCTGGTTTCAAGTGGTTAAAACTGTACCCTTTATCATTAAAGGGTGTCTAAACCCCAAAACAAAGAGTTTATTTATTGCATCTTACCAGTCCTTAAATGTGGTGGCTGCATTAGTTTTCTTTTTTTCAGGCTAAGAACATTTTTAGCAAATGCAGAACATATTAGTTGTTCTTGCCAGAAATGCAGTGTCCTTGTTACTTTGTGTGAACGCAAAGTAAATTGCAGAGAACTGTAGGTTTATTGTCTAAAATACTAGTACCATCAATTCATCATATAATGGAAATAAACAAACGTGTGAAGTCCAGCCCGCATGACATCCATAACAGTCCAATGGATGGAGAAAACACAATGTGGAAAAAACACATTGGGACAAGAAGTGTGTTTGTCACGGATGGGGACCCCGCCCACGGCGACTCCCTAACCGGAGCATGTTCCTTGTCCGGAGGAAGAGGGAGGGCAGTTACTTTGGACTGATAAAAAACACTCCTGTGAAACAATTATCACAGTGTATTACCAGAACCTGCCACTGGAGAGCGACTCACCCAAAGTTAGCTTACTGAACACACACACACACACACACGCAGATATAAATCTTACCTACAATCTGGTGCACTCTAAGGGCTGTGTAGCAGCCAAGTGATTAACACACACTTCTTTGATTCCTCAAGCTATCCTACATGCTAGAATCCTTGTGTTACCACTTTCCCACTGCTCGCACACCCACTCACACCAGACACACAACTCACGGTAGTCTGCTACCACCTGCAATTCGCCCACTGACTGGTCTGCTAGGAAACCATACACACACAGATCCCCGTCTGGCAGATCTGCTAACATACTGTATACACACTGACACTAACCTGCATACAATCTGCAAACACACAATGCATTTTCATACAGGTTAACAGTCGGCTTATAACCGAGTGTACAGACACTAGTAACAAGGACCAATCCCTCTAGGGAGGATGAATTTGTGGTTTAGTACACAGAAGACCACTTACTAATGTTATAGTTTAAAATCCCTAGGCGGGCAGTGCATAAGAAAATGTGTACAAAACTAAAAAAGAACAAAAATGACATATACAAAAAATTTTGGCTACTGACATAACATAAAATAGGAGAAAAACAGAAAAACTTTACCGTTGGGCAGTATTGTTTGTCCTGCTGGCGGGGGAATGCCAGAAACCTGTAAACACTGTGTTCTTAGATACACTCTCCCAGACGAATACAAAATCCATATTTCCAGCTCCCCAATTTATTGGGATCTGGGTGTGGGACGGGCTCTAGCCCTTTGACCAATCATTTCAGGAGGTGTCACCCTACCTCCTGGTAGATGAGGTTCTGCCTTCTGAAGTGGCCATAGGTTATTGGTGCCGGCCGGTTCTGATGCCTGGATCGGGAGTGGGATTTCTGATACCAGTGCGTCAGCACGATCGCAACGAGTCCACTCGCCGCATGGCTGCAGGAGAAGACCCCAAATAACCGTTTTCTCATTTTCCAGAGAATTGTGTCAACTTGACTCCTACAATTTTATATGTGCTCGTACCTTTATAATATGTGCAGTCCTGGCCAAAAGTTTTGAGGATGACACCAATATTTTCACAAAGTCTGCTGCTTCAGTTTGTGTGATGGCAATTTACATATACTCCAGAATGTTATGAAGAGTGATCAGATCAATTGCAATTAATTGCAAAGTCCCTCTTAAGGTGCCCATACACCTTACGACCATCGCAAGACTTTTATATGCTTATTGAAAGCTCGTACGATCTGCCCACCTTGGACGGGCAGATCGTACTTGCGATGACCGCAATGCAGAACGGGCAATGCAAAAACTCAGTTTAAAATCGAGAAACCGGCCGGTGTAGTGTAGCATCTCAATCGTCTGCTACTTCCTGGTTTGACGTGGGAGCGGGTCTATTCTAATTGATACCACGTCAAACTAGGAAGTAGTGAGTTTTTCTATGTTTTTTATAATAAACGTATATGCATACCACAACATGAGGAGGTTTCTTTTATAATTATATAAACCCATAACGGACGGAACATTGCCGAAAGAGACATCTGGGATGTGGACCTAAATTATATTTATATAATATATTTTAGATTGTGATTATTTATATATTCATATATTCACTTTATTATCACCTTTAGCGCTGCACAATTTACACTTCATCCATTTTTGACCCTAGGGTTTAGAGCGCAGCAGCTTTTATATCAGACCTACCCATAAGCACGGATTTTACATCTTCTAATCTTTGGAGGATGGCCTGGTTTCAAGAAGGGCAACAAAGAAGCCACTTCTCTCCAGGAAAAACATCAGGGACAGACTGATATTCTGCAAAAGGTACAAGGATTGGACTGCTGAGGACTGGGGTAAAGTCATTTTCTCTGAAAAATCCCCTTTCCGATTGTTTGGGGCATCCGGAAAATACCTTGTTCGGAGAAGAAAAGGTGAACGCTACTATCAGTCCTGTGTCATGCCAACAGTAAAGGATCCTGAGACCAATAAAGAGGGGTACAAAAACATCCTCCAAGAGCAACTTCTCCCAACCATTCAAGAACAGTTTGTTGATGAACAATGCCCTTTCCAGCATGATGGAGCACCTTGCCATAGGCAAAAGTGATAACTAAGTGGCTTGGGGAACAAAACATAGAAATTTGGGTCCATGGCCAGGAAACTCCTCAGAACCTGTGGTCAATCCTCAAGAGGCGGTTGAACAAACTAACCCCACAAATTCTGACAAACTCCAAGCATTGATTATGCAAGAATGGGTTGCCATCAGTCAGGATGTGGCCCAGAAGTTGATGAAGCAGAGATCTGCTTCATCAGCTTCTCTCCAGCATCTGAAGCTGAAGAGTAACACAAGAATGCGGAAGTGATGTAATAGGGGACCGGAGGGAGGTCGTGTACCGATCTCCCATGACAGAGGCACTATGCTGGTCCCGGGCTCGCACCGGGCACAGCGGAGCCGGGACCAGCTTGGGAAGTGGTTAAAAAAAGGTAATTGGAGTCCCTCCAAATTACATACTAGACTCTTATTATAGGGGGCTTCCAGATTTTGAGAGTCCCTTCCGAGAGGAGAAGAGTAGAGAAGAGTGCCAATGTCAGAGTGAGTGGGGATCAAATAAGTAAAATAGCTTTTCCTGCCCCTTAGAAAAAACGTATACTTAACCCTTGCAGTGTGAGGGTAGCCCTTCCCTCTTCCTTCTTTAATACAAAAGGTTCTTTAATACAAAAGGTTGTTTACTACAACAGAGTACCCAGAGCAGTTTATCTTATAGATGGGTGGGTGAGTGATAACATTTGCACGTTCTCTTAAACCAGCTCCCAAACAATCCTCACCAAAGGAAACAGACAAAGCAAAATTAGAATTTTTATTTCTCAAAATACTCAATGCAGAAAAAAAAATGTTTATTTAGCATTGCACGTATGCACATTTTTCACATAAATCGTTTTTCATTTGCAAAAGCCATTCTTTCTGCAGGTGGAAAACCCCTGTTATCAAACATCAGTCCAGAAAAGAAGCACATTCACAAGCTATATATACACAAAAATAAAGTGTTCATTCACTGACTGGCTCAGTATGTGATCTATTTGGCAGACAACCTGCATGCACAAATACACAATCATTAGTAACTCAGTTTATTGACTAGTTCAGATATTTAACAAGTCTACAGCCTTTTTCAATACACTGACTTGGCTTTTAAAGTGTATGTCAGGGCAAAATGACAATAACAAAGGACATTTCTGCAATACATGCACATTTGGCCATGTCCTAACTTCAAATAAAGAAAACTACTTATTGATCTGCCAGAAATCCTTTGAACTCCAAATTTTCTTTAGTAAGCTTACAAGCATCTGCTGCACTGAAATCCCAAGCAATGTTGTTATCCTAGCCCAATTCTACAGTGCACTCTTCCCTCTCCTCATCTCCAGTACATAAGGGGGACTCAGGCAAGGGTTGACAACACTGTTTTGAATTTCAGTGCAGCAGAGACAGAGTTGTCAACTCACTATAGGACGTTAGGAGCTTTCTGGCAGACCAAAGGGCATTTTTCTGGAACAAAAGCGTTTTTAAAGAGGCAAAATATGGGTAAATGGGAATGCATTTCTGAGATGTAAATATACTGTATATATATTTTATTATTTTGTTCAGATATAAACTTAAGTAAACCCCTTGCAATGGTTTACTGACTATGAGAGATTGCAATCAGAAAGGCAGAGTGGTGTTCAGAAGCAGAGTGTTTTGTACTGACTGGACCAGACCATGTTATCATGTGCTTGCATGATGCCAAGTAAGTATTTGCCCTTTATCACTTCAATGCACTTTCTTTTACATACTTTATTCTGCTTTGATAGTCATTTCATGGGGCAGACTAGTCAGTAAATGTATGCTTCATAGCGTTGCTTTGTCATTCACTGAGGCTCATTCAGACCTCTGGCATCATTCGTTAATGCATGTTTTTTTGCCTGTCAACGTACATTGCATTAAGGAAGCCCCTTCAAAAGAATGGGCTTGCAACGCACCAAAATGTCCATAAAGAGAAATGTGCCATTTTTGGCAATGCATCACACCACAATGCAAAGTAGCCCATTACTGTGGGTTGTGGTGTTCTTCAACCCATTTGTGTACTGTGTTTGAGCTGTACTGCCTCAGTGCCATTCAAAATAAAGGGCATCGCAAGGTGCTAACATGTATCATGCATTCACTTGTGTTGTGGTAAAGTGCAAAGTACTGCAAGGCACTGCAGTGATAAAGTGTGTTTTGCCCCTTATTATTTTACATGTAGTCCAAGGGCCTGTTTGATTGGATTTAATTGGTGGAATAGATTTTCAGAAAACGCTCACATTAAATGGTTTTAACATTCCTAAAGGAGATTGTACATATTGTACAAACAGATTCTAACATGTCTGGCCAGCCTTAGTGTTCACTACAGTTGTAATTTTGAAACAATTAAACTGGTTACCCATGGCGTTTTTTTTCATTTAGCCTCTCGGGCTGAACAAAAAAAAAAAAAACAGATTCCTCTAACCCCACTGACTGAATACATTGAAAATGGGTCATTGACAAAAAGGCAATACATTTCATGATGCTAACATATTACATTTCATAAGCTTCTGGGCCATTAAGATTGTCACACAGTCAGCTATTGTATAGCACAATCAGCTATTATAAATCTAACAGTTTGTTCTGTTAGAATTTGCAACAACTGCACACTACTGGGATATTGGCCAAAGCAGTGGAAACTGCAGTTCAGTGCCTCTAAATGTAAAATAATGTACTTAGGGGCAAAGAATCATCTTATAGAATGCAATATTATTGGTACAGTGTTTACAAAATGATCAAACAGTGCGGCTAGGCAGAGGGGAACACAAAGAATTATGAGGTGCATCACCAGAATGAGGTCCTGATACCTTTTATATAAAGCTTTAACAAGCTTTTATTTATAATACTGTGTTAGCCAGAGACCACATGGTCTAAGCTGTGAAGGTTTTAGGTCACATATGGTGGCAGTCTTGTATCCATGGCAAAAAGAGGTATGTTATTCAGTATATTGTGATTTTGTAATTCTGAGTCATTCCCTATTAACATGTAAATTGTAATGCTATCCACAAAACATTAAACAAGTTGCCATGATCTTATAAAACTACAGTCTGCATTTTTTGTATAGCTGATAACAACCAATGTACTTATTGTTATCAGCCACTTCAGGCTAAAAAGAAAGTTATGTGTTTGGACTGATTTCATGATTTTTAACTATCATTCATTTTCAAAAGGCCAGATATGTTTATGTAATCTAATAAAACTGTAGGGCTACTAGACTGATCAAAAAGGCAAGCAAAAACGTTATCTGCACTGTATCCAGTCAATGTACAACTTCAACTCTTCTATGTACATCTAGAACAGTGATGGACAACTCTGGCCCTCTGGCTGTTGGGTAACTGTACGTCCCATGAGGCATTGCAAGACTGACAGTTACAGAAATGACTCCCAGAGGCAGATACATGTCGGGATTTGTAGTTAAAGCACAGCTGGAGGGCCGGAGTTGCCCACCACAATCTAGGAAACACAGGACTACTTCACAAAAGTGGCTCATCTAACAGTCTTTGGGTTTATTGATCCTTGTACATGGTTATTACCCCCACCAAGAATACTACTCTTCTCACACATTCACAAACTCCATGTTCAACATCATCTTAATTTAACAAAAATAATCTTAGTACAGATAAAGTTCATTTTACAATTTTCTTAAGTTCAGTATTTCATGTGTATCTTGAAACCAAAGGAAGTTTTGCTAACAGCTTTCGTCTTTCTTACATGAATCAGAATCAGCAGTGTTTCGTCCAATCAAGATGTTCACTTCAGAGTTGTATGTTAGGAAATCCCATTCTTCAGCTGTAGTACAATTTGCTTCCAAAATACTTGTAAAATTTTGATTGCAGTTTAAATATGGTTAAGTGATATATGTTTGTTTATATACAAAATATCAAGTTGGAGGCTTCACTATCTCCAACCAGTTCCCTCAGGCTGGAAGTACACCCTTCGTCTTAAATCATTCATCTTTTTGAGATATTACTGTATTTTTTTATAAATATTGAAGAGATGATGCCAGAAAAAAAAAAATGTTTCCAGTATTTTGCTAAACAGTAATTTCCATCTGTATGGTTGATGTTGTCTTTACATTAAAAGACTATTTATATTTTTTCAAAAATCTAAGCATTCAAATAAATGCCACAGTGCTCATATAACTTATAGTCAGTGCTAGGAACCATGATGTTCCCTACCGTTAAATACTGCTGTCAGCTTTCCATGGTAGAAAATGGTGCAATGCCTTCAATAGATGCTGTCTTCTACTTTCCTTGTTCTTCTGATGGTTGTCCAAAAAGGAAGATCTCTTGGGGTTGTTTTTAAGAAACAAAATATATGTTTGAGGAAGAAGTCTTTTCTGTGAGTAAGGATCAATACAGCTATAAAATCCAAAGAAAAGGTCAGAATGACTATCATGGAAATACAGTAGGAAGAGAGCTTCAAGGAGTCAAGCCATAACTTGAGGTAAGTCTATTAAATTACTACTGAAGAACATAGAAGTTCGATATGCTTGACAGTCTGAGACTTAAATGAGTTCTAGGAATCTAGAACATGGGTAGTAGGCACAGTCATAAAATTGACCATCCAAGCTTTCTGCTAACACTTGAACATGCAGTTCTGAAGATTAATCACAGTGCTTAGTAGAATTTGCAGCAATGCCTAAGTTTGTGGTTTGCTAGTATTGCTCTTATAGACAACAAGTGTGACCAGAAATGGAATTATACAGATCGGTGCAAATATTAATGCCAGCAACACATTCTCTGGAGGATCCATGAATTCTTCAGGCGCAGCACATTTGGAGAAAAACTTTTGATGAGCATTTAGAATTATGTTATGTGCCAATTCATTAGGGTAAGCAAGATAGAAGTGATCAGCAAAGAATTCCATGCAGTCCTGTAAGTCACT